CTGAGGTAGATTTACTTTCGTTCCGGTCTGACTGGAAGTAGGAATTGTTGTAACCCAGCAGTAGCAAGCTATCTGCATGGTAAACTAACATGTACGCCTTAGTCCTTCTTAGGTACTTGAGTATATGCTTCACCGAAGACCGTCCTAGGACTGGGTTACTTTGATATTTAGCCACTAAGCCTATGGTGTAGCTACTCTCGGGCCTTGTGCACAGCATTGCATACATGAGGCTTCCAATTGTCGAAGCATAAGGACTACCTTCATGTACTCTATCCCTTGAGGTGCTGTAGGCGACATCCCCTTAGATAGAGGTACTCTATCTCGAAAAGGTCAAAAACCCGTTCTTGGAGTCCTGCATGCTGAATCTAGCCAGAACAGTATCTATGTATGATGATTAGGACAAGCACAACATGTTGGGACCCATGAAGATCTCGTTATGTATATGTAAAAGTTACGAATTTAAACAATCAAAGATAAACTTATGCACAGCGGATCTAGAGGTTTAAAGTTGAAAACTTACGGCTTAAAATTGCAGATTTAGAGATCATCGGAACTCTCCGAATCTGCTGGGCAACCAGATTAATGCCTCGTCGGACTTTGAATATTGAAGTAACTATGAATTTTGTTGATACAAGAGAAACATATAATAGAAGTAACACAATCGTCGGCAACACATTTGCCTCTATAGTTGCCTTTACCAACTCTAATAATAATCTGGATCCAGAACCTAAATCAAGTGCAGAGTGCCGGAAGCGGTCCGATTGGCTAAGATGGAAAGAGGCAACTAAGGCTGAAATAGCCTCGCTAAATAAACGAAAAAAAAAAAATTCTCTATTGTGCGTACACCTCAAAATGTTATTCCAATCGGATATATATGGGTGTTCGTACGAAAGAGAAATGAAAATAATGAGGTGGTGAGATACAAAGTGAGATTAGTTGCTCAAGGGTTTTCGTAGAGACCTGATATTGATTTTGATCAAACATATTCTCCTATAACGGATGATTTCGCTATTTGATATCTCTGCCAGTAACTATGAATTTAGATATAAAGTTAATGGATGTCGTGACCGCATATCTATAGGGGTCATTAGACACAAATATTTATATGAAAATTCCTAAAGAATTAAAGGTTCCCGAAATAAGGGAAAATGAAACACCCAACATGTATAGCATTAAATTACAAAACCTGTTATATGGCTTAAAACAATTGGGTAGAATGTGGTACAATCGACTGAGTGAGTTTGTATTGAAAAATATTTATGTGTAACGATGTGCGCCAGCGTGTGTTAATAATGAAGTCAACAAGCAGTTGTTATATCAATTCAGTCTATGTCGATGACATAAATATTATTGGCACACGTGAGGAGCCTGATAAAGCTAGCTCATGCGTAAAGACGGAGTTTGAAATGAAAGATTTGGTTAAAACCAAAATATTGCCTCAGCCTGCAGATCGGGCATCTCCTAGAAGGAATTTTTGTACACAAGTCAACCTACCTGAAGCAGGTTTTAGAAAAATTCTATACGGATAAATCTTATCCACTTAGCACACCAATGGTTGTTCGATCCTTGAAGTGGATATGGATCCATTTAGACCTAAAGAAGATACTGAGCAGAAGTTCCTTACTTGAGGATCATTAGCGTACTTTATCTTGGAAATTGCACCAAGCCTGATATTGCATTTGCAATAAACTTGCTAGCAATGTTTAGTGCTTCTCCTGTGAGGAGACACTGGAAGGTATTAAAAATATTTTTAGATACCTTCAAGGTTCACATGATCTTGATTTACTTTATAAGAATAACCTAGATATGAGATTGTTAGGCTATTCAGATGTTGGTTATATGTCTGGTCCTCATAATGCCAAATCTCAGACTGGTTATGTTTTCTTCTGTGGTGGTATTGCACTTTCTTGGAAGTCGGTTAAGCAATCCATGGTTACTACATCTTCAAACAACTCAGAGATAATTGCTTTATATGAGACTTCACGACAATGTGTATGGTCAAAATCTTGAATCCAACATATCCGTGGGTCGTGTGGAATTTCAAATGATATAACCCCCACTGTCTTTTACGAGGACAATGCAGCTTGTGTTTTACAAATGAGTAGTGGGCATGTTAAAGGAAGCATGACAAAACACATTCATCCAAAATTCTTTTACCCACATGAGCTCCAGAAGAGCAGTGAGATTATTGTACAAAAAGTACGGTCTAGCGAGAACTTGACAGGCCTAATCACCATATTCTTTCCTACATCTACTTTTGAAAGATACATTTATGGTATTGGTATACGTAAACTGAAAATACTATTGTCTTCAGGGGGAGGGACAAACTCAAAATAATTGCAAAGATTAGGTCCTGAAGACCAAATGTTGTACTCTTTTTTAATTAACTCAGTTTTTCCCATTGTTTTTATTAGTTGACAATTTTTAATGAGGCAGCTAGTGAAACACAAGAATTTATATAAATCATGTACTCTTTTTTCCTTCACTACTTTTTTTCTTTTTTTTCCTGTCGGGTTTTTATTAACAAGGTTTTTAATGAGGTACGTAGTAATGTCCAAAGGAGAGTGTTATAAATATATTATGGTATGTGGACATTACTAAAATATTTATTGGGCCTAAAGCCCATTAGCCATGTTAGATGAGGTTTAGGTCTTTATGTGAACCCTGTAAAAAGAAAAGGGAAAATTTTGTGTATACCACACGAAAGTTAAAATATTTCATAAATACCAACAATCAATAATTAATTTTGTTCCTACATAATAGATAATAAATATCTACATAAACCCTAAAAATCAATTACAGGTGGTGCGACCTCCATTCTCTAATGTTATGCCCATGATTCACATTCCCTAATTTTATCCCCATGATTCACAGCCTGTTTGAGAAAAAAAAAATAAAAAAATCGTCCTCCATCCATATGAAAAAATAATATAAAAAAATTGTAGTNAGTGAATTTATAGTTTATTAATGGTATATGTATCGTTTTTTTTTATTCATGGTATATGTATCGTTTTTTTTTAGATATATTAAAGGTATTTGTTTTTTATATTATGTGGATGGAGTCGCCTATGATGATTTTCATTCAATTATATGTGATGAAATGGATTATGTATATAAACTATATATATATATGTACAACAAAAAAAATTTGGTTTATTCTTATTTTAAATCAGTGTTTGAATATTTTGTAGTATATGTTGCGTTTGCGTATTTTTTTCGTAAAAATTGCAGTTACAACGAAGTATATGTTGAATTTAAAAGTCAATATAACTTTTCATGTCTTGAATGGAAAGTATATATTGAGTTTATATTTAATATATAGTTAGTATATGTTGCAATATTCAGTAAAATGTTGCCAGCTCTTTGATCAAAGACAATCTATATGAACAAGATATATTGTTTATAAAAGGAACAAAAACATGAAATTAGAAAACATTATATAAGCAAAACAACTGATATGAACCAGATTTCAATCACGTCAATTGAACATATCAGGTCTTCTAGGCAATTATCCTTTGCAAATAATGTCAACAATCTACAGGGATCATCACAACCCACAACAATAAAACCCGATAAGGAATTAAANAAAAGAATAAACTGGCAAAAAAAGAAAAAAGACAATGTTGGGAGATAAAATATCTCCTAGTACGGCGCCGGGGCATCAAAACCGTAAAACGGGCGGCGGGGTCGCAAATGTGGATAGGGTCGCAAATATGGGTAAGGTAATGCAGGACTGTTCAACCGGTCTGAAACCGTACCAAATCAACCGAAATAACGGTTCGGCTCGGTTTCAAACCGTAAATCCATCGGGTATATCGATTCGGTTACCAGTGATACAGTAAACTGGAGAAATGACAAAAGTAAACTGGAGAAATGACAAAAGAAAAAAACTACAATTCGTGAGTTACAATTTACAAAAATAACAATAACTAGCTACTTAATAATTTCACCCAAGCAAACTAAAAGTGTGCATTTCATGCTGAAGATTTCAGTTTAATGACCAAGGCATCAATTGGCCAAACTTCTGATACAAACAGGGGTCTAGCACACCCCAATTTCTGGGTAACTATCTAATGAAAGAAAATTATTTATTTGTGCTTGGACTGAAAAACATAAAAGTAGGCAAAGGGTATGAGGATTTGAGCAACTTAGGTTACTAGTTTGCTTTCGTCTCCTATTAATTAAGCTCTGCACACAAAGTTTTGGTCAAGCAATTTACTCTGTTGACATAATCTGCAATCTGCAGGTTACTAGTTTGCTTTTGTCTCCTATTAATTAAGCTCAATAAGGTTCAGTAGATTTTAGGTGGAATGCACATGCATTACAACCCCTGCTCCTATTCACATTCCTCTTCCTCATTCCATCATTCCACTTGGATGCAGGTTCTAATTTTAAGTATTCTTCATTGCATTGAACGAACTTGCATCAACAACTAGTAGAGCACCAATGAGTTTCAATCAATACAAAATTGAACAAACAACAGAGCACCATTGAGTTTCAATCAATACAAAAGCTGACAGAAGGAAGATATCAAAACTCAGACACCAGCCAATAATTGAACAACGCTACCCAAATGCCTAAACATCAAACAACCAATACACAATTGAACCAAAACTAACAATTGAACTGTAATGTTAAGCGATGATACAAATAAAAATCCAGGATGTGATTCTGTTGCAGCATGCAGGCAACGACGATACTTAACAATAAGTAATACATAAGCAATATATATAGACCCACGAAACATATAAACATCCTTGTGCATAACCAAAAATCGAGCTGAAAAGCTTCCAAAGCATTTACTTAAGGGACAACCCCACATACACAGCTATTGCACATAACAGGACCACTACAAATCCGCCTACAGGAAAAAGGTAAAACTTGCATGGTTGAAAAGTTCCAAACCATTCCCTTCGATAGAAACCAAAACAAAAGCCTTTTTCTTTTCTTTTTTCCTTCTTAATTCAATAAAGAAACAGATGGTCAATCAGAAAGCAAACCTAGACATTCTTCCTTGGCCTGCCCCTCTTTCTGGCTGTAGGTGCAGCAGCAGCAACCGGTGGTGCATTCTGAGGTGGCTGTGGTGGCGGCGGAGGTGGCGGAGATGGCGGGGCGGAGGTGGGATCTGCCTGCACCTCCTCCGGTGGTGCTGGTGCTGGTGCTGGTGCTGGTGCCGCCTCACTTTCCCCAAACATTGGCGGCATCCATGTAGGAAACCCATTTCCCTTCCCAGAATTGCCTCCGGCAAACCCCATGGGGAAAAAGCCCCAACAGCAGTAATACGCCTCTGACCCAGGCACCATGGGCGGCATAGACAAGATCGGGGCCGCCGTGAAAGCTCTCTTGCAGTTCTCGTTGTCACATCTCAAGCAACAGCCCTCGTAGATCCTGGGGTACTCGTACAGATTGTAGCAGTAAGGGCACGCCGTCCAGATGTTCCCCGCCAAGCTAGGGTTTTCGCTGGCGGTCGATTTCACCCCGGCGACGTCAGCTTCGGCGGCGGTGGTGCCACCGCCGGCGCTGGAACCGCCTCTCGCGCTACGGCGGACGGGAATTTTTTGATGCGGGTTATCTCCCCTCGCCTGCGGCTGACTTTTCTGCTGTTGATTGAAATGCTGCTTTTTCGCGGCCACGAGATCCACCTTGGTGAACCGGGAAGCGAGCTCGCCGTCGTACGCCGATTTCTTGGCTGGATCTGAGAGCACGGCCCACGATTCGGCTACGAGCCGGAAGGCCGAGTCGGAGAATGGGAACTTGTTCTTGTCCGGGTGGAGGAGGAGCGCGAGCCGCCGGTACTGTTTCTTGATCAGCTCGGCTTCGTCTGTGCGCTGCGGGATCTGGAGAACAGCATACCAATCCGGCTGGCTGCTGTTGAGCCGCTTGTTCTCGGCGGCCAGGAGGACCTCGGCCACGGCTAGCATCTGATCGGAGCCATCGAGCAGCGGCTCCGTCTCCTGAGCCAGAATGGCGAAGTCCCTGCAGCCGCCGTAGTCCTTGTTGCGGAGGAGCTTCTCGGCGATGCCAAGGAGACGCTCGGCTTCGGCTCGGCTTGTCTCCATTGTAGGCTCTTTTTAATTTTTTTCTTTTCTTTTTTCAGATTTGTTTTCCGAAATTTAGGAATGTTTATGAGAAGCTCTCTTTGGGTTTGGTGAAGACAACGATGGCTGATGGTAATTCATTGGATAGAATGTAGTGCGCTGATGAGTTTATGTAACCGTTCGATTGAGATATCCAAATATCAACGTTACAATGAACACAATAATGTTTGCAAAACTATGTGAATTAAAAGCAAAATTATGTAAATTAAACTTTTGTAATCACCAAATTTGCTCAATCTATATATATATATAATTGCTAGCTAAGCAATAAATTTTATCTAATAAATAAAACCTAATAAATTTTACTTATGTGGCAAATCATTAATAAAACCTAATAAATAGAACCTAATAAATTTTATTTATGTGGCATTAATACACCCAATCTCATTAATAAGAAAATATTTCATTACATTTTTTAGGGTTAATTAAGACAAAAACCATTATATTTTATGTTAATTGATTAATAATTATATTTTTTATTGAATAATATAATAGTTAATATTAAAATTAGTAATTATATTTTATACTAAATAATATATGAAAGTTACATAAAATTATATTTTACACTAAAATCAATATTTTTTTATATGATAAAGCGGTTGTTTATTAATAAATTAATTTTTTTTATGTCATAGTAAAATTTCTTAAAATCACATAAGCAATTGTTATAATAAATGTAATATTTTTCAGCTAATTAATTGGTCATGATCACTCAAAATTATAAAAAGTATATATTTATTACATTTTATGCAATCAATATAGTGATTCGTATACAATCAAATCGTGTGTACTATTTATTTTAACCAATGATCAAATTTTAAAATATAATACTATTATATAATTTATAATTTTAATATTATATACATAAATATAACTTATAATACTATATATTTGAAATATAATACAATTATATAACTTATAATTTTTATATTATATACATAAATATAACTTATAATATTTAATTTTATTTACATCTGTGCAAATGCACAGTATCGAATACTAGTAAGATGTTAAGGTTGTGATTGATATGGATTTGACTGAATTTTGCTTGTTTTATTTTTATCTGCATAGTTAATTTTGAAAATGTGGTATGACTAATTGTTAGTGGAATTTAAGTTTAAATTAAAATATTATTTAAAATAAAATAATTAAAATTTAGTTAATGTAAAAATAGAAAAAAAATTATTGGAAGCGATTATTAGTTACCAAATGAGAAAGGAATATAGTGAAATAAATGAGAATAAATCTGGATCAATGGATACATCATGTCAATGGCTAGGATTAAGCCAAATATTGGTCAATTATTAATGACAATATAATAAATACGTAAATATATGGTGGTCAAATATATAGATTTGACCACTAAATAAGGGTAATTTTGACAATTGGTTAAAACACATCAACATGTGGGGCTCCCCACCTCCAACATTAAACCCATTCACCTACCCCGTCATTCACCTACCCATCCACCAACAACCCCATTAACTCTCTCTCTCTCTCTCTCTCTCTCTCTCTCTCTCTCTCTCTCTCTCTCTCTCTCTCTCTCTCTCTTTCTCTCTCTCTCTCTCTCTCCTCACATAGTACACATACATACTCACATCAAGCACCAACAACTCAACCGTTGTCCGTCGTCAACCGCTTGTCGCCTACCACATACCACCTGCCGGATGAACACCACCGCCACCTGCTGGACGCACACCACTTCAGACACCGCAGGACAACACCATTTGCAGCCTGTCGGACTCCGACTGCCAACACTGAACCGTCGCCGTCTGTCTCGTCGCCACCGCCACAGTTCGAAACTACTTCACCCCCGACCAGGTCCGCCATCTCCACGATCGGACAGCCACATACATGAACACTTCGCCGTCGACGGCCATGAGCAATTCTACATCGCCTGCCTCCGGCTCCTCCGTCAAACGCCTCGCGTGCCGCCACAACGTCTACAGCAATCGTCAGGGCTTCGGTCGCCGCGCGAGTCCAAGTCCTGGCCAATTCGAGTCGGCCGTGAGATCTCGCCTGGGATGATTCTGGCGACACTGTTCCGCCGTTCAAATTCCACAGACATGGTCGGGCTGTTGATTCGGTCGCCTCCAACAAAAGGAAGAGTCGATTAGGCTGAAGATAGTGGCACTATGTGTGAGGATGCGTTAGATTTAGAAATTTTAGGGTTAGGGGTGATTTAGTAAGAATTATGTAAGTTTTAGAGACAACAAAAACAATTTTTAGAACTTTGGATATAATGTAATTAATGGGTTAAATATACATTTTATTACAAACTATAATAAATGTAGAATGTTAAAAAATGAATAATGTGTGTATGGATATGCATATTAGATGTTCATAAATTTTAGTATAGTTCATGTTAACTGATTGATTAAATATGTAATTTATTAAAAATTTAATAATTATACAATTATGTACAGTGCATTGCACAACAACGATAAATAAATTGCACAATAGCGTGTGTATATATGCACATTAAAAATTTTAAAAAAAAATCAGATTACCGGATGCAATTTTGATTTTTTTAATTAGGTTTACAGATTTTAAGATAGGTTTACGTTTTTTTTGGTAAATTTGATAAATTTAAGGGCTTAATTGCAATTTCAACAAGTTTGATATATTACAATTTAGTTCAAGGGTGAATTTGTAATTAATCAAACTATGATTAATACTTAAATATTTTTATTTAATATTTAATAAATTTATATTTTTGTAGCTTAAGTATATAATTTTTTACATAACAAATATTATTATAGAAATAATGATATTTCTTTACATAGTTTCGGTTAAGTAAAAAAAAAAGAACTTAAATTGGACCCACATAATCGAGTTTGATTTTTAAGAAAATAAAGACAATTAAGCTGAAATTTAAATTTTGCAAACTGAAATTTAATTTTTTCTATCCAAAAGAATTAGTTTGGTCGATTTTTGTTGACATTGTTCGATCTAATAGTCATTAATGTGCAATTCATATAACCTTAATGTGCACTTGCAAAACATATATATATATATATATATATCTCTCTTATCTATATATGAAAAAGTGTATGGTCTTTAAAATTTGACAAGTGTCCACTTTTGGTGATGTAAAAAACTAACAAGTGTCCAGTTTTTATTACATTTTTGCCACTATTTGAAATGGATTTAATTTATGGGGGTTAATTCAATTTTTTTTTCTTTTTCAGTGCAGGCCGGTTTTTTTGGGGATGTCAGATGTAAATGACCAAAATGTCTCATATCTTATACTGCTTTTTGAGGTGAGTATGGTAAATTCCATATTCATTTTCTTAGTGGAGAAGACTTCTGTTCCCACACGCAAAAAGGCCGGATTTTCTTCCTCTTCAAGCCACAGTTATCACTTGTCACCTCCTTTACCTGCTCTCATTCTTTTCCAAATCACAGCGCCCCACCAAATCTTCACCTTCTCATTTCAGGAATAAATATGTAGAACTCGGTAGGGTTTTCTTTTCGAATCGATTTTTCATAACCTCCTTCCCTGGCGACTTGACAGATCTCCCTTCTCTAGATGCTCTCTCAGTCCCTCTACGTCGCTCGCCTCCTTTGTGTCAAACACGTCGACGATTTGAAATGAAATAAACTTAACTCAAAGTCGCTTCCTTATGGCTCAGAGACAACAAGCGGTGCTCCAAGAGGGTCCAATTTTGCCGCAACGACTATCCGACGACACGAAGGCCAATTTTTCAAAAACCTGGGAAGTCAGGAGCCAACACATATCCCTTTAATTACTCAGTTGAGTTTGTTTACATTTTGTATTCTCGGATTGAAGTGAAGAGCTTTCCAGAAACTGTAAAGCCTCTTTGATCCTACAGTCAGGGAAGTTATATTGTTGGAGTAAATATACAGAGTCGAGAAGCAGTTGTTGTTAAATTGGTGAGTATCTCTTAACTGAGAATATTGAAATTTTTTTCTCTTATATATATATATATATATATCGTCAATTCTTCTTATTCTTATTGTGGAATGTTGAAATTTTAGTAGGGAATGAGGAATTATAAAATAAAATGAGGTGAAGATTATGAAGTTCATGTTGTTTATACGTTTCTGTTAATGTGTGTAATAACTGATCGATATGTATACATGTCTAATTTGGCAATTGTTTTAAAGTACTTTGCTTTTTAAGGAGACTTTGATCCTATATTTGATGGTTATATCAAATTGAACCTTGTATATATGTATTTTTTTAATTGAACCTTTTATCTTATCAACCTTCATGTATGTTAAATTTATTCTGTATATTTAGTATTCTGAAGGCACAAATTATTTTCTGCATGAATCTGTTAAAACTAAGCACCCTCAGCTTCACTGTGAATCAAAATTGTATATGCTTCTTCAAGGAGAAAGTGCGTATGAATAATTTTTTATCTATCATCATCTCTATCGTGCACGGAGTCCATTAAACTTTTTCCTTCCTTGTGAAGCTGGGATTCCCCATCTTAAATGGTTTGGAATTGAAGGTGAGTACAATGCCATGGCTATTGATCTTCTTGGGCCTAGCTTAGAAGATTTGGTCAATTATTGCAATAATAAGTTCACATTGAAAACTGTACTGATGCTAGCGGATCAATTAGTAAGTAAGCCACCAATTTTTAAACGATCATCTGTATGGTTGTTTGTCTTGCTGTTTTACTTACTACTGGTTTTCTATGTAGATAAATAGAGTTGTATACATGTACTCAAGAGGGTTTCTGCACCGTGATATAAAATCTGTGAACTTCTTAATGTGTTTGGGACGCAAATCCAATCAGGTACTTTATGTTGTATTCCTAACTCTGTCTTTTTCTTTTTCTGTATTGTATGTATGGTTTATGTTTATGTGTTGTTTCTGATCAATCAGTTGCAGTAAGACGATGCAAATCGCACAATTGGTTCTATCGTTTTTGAGACCTTGAGGAGCCGACGAATCCAATGGCGGAGACGAACACCCGTCGTGCTTTAGCTGCAGCTGGTTCCGATGCTACATGAGCTACTGGGTGAGAAAATGTGAATCAAATCGAACTGATTCATAGGATTAAATGAAATAATCCTTTGATTAACAAATTTTAGTTGTTTATAATGTTTGCTTCTCTTAGTTGAATGGCGACAGATTGTGTTGTTTTCTCAATTCAAAAGAGGAAAACTAAGTATTCAGGCGTGGAAAAGTGAGCGGAACGCACAGTTTTGATCAATCTAGCCTTTCAAGTCGAGTAAATAAAGTTACTTTTGTTGACATGGTATCAAATTGTTTGTTATTGTTTCTTTTTACTGATAAAGCTGATGTGTTGTTAACGCAGACCAAGACCGTGGAGGTGGCGTGATGTGAGTGAGAGGTCCAAGAGCCATACTAAGACCGCGAAACACAATTTAAAGAAGCCGTACAAGCTGGAGCGGCACCACAGGCTGAAGGGTAAGTATTAGATTGTTGAATTAATAAATGTTATTATTGTTTTTGTATGTTCATGCTTGTTTGGATTTACATGTAATGTTTACGTGTTTAAGAGGTATTCTTTATTATTTATAATTATCATTATGATTTAGTGATCCTGAGTGTACATATTTCTTAGTGGTTGCATGTATCATTTTTTGTTTGTTTGGTGCATGATGGAGATTTTGACAGTTGTATTTAGATAAATGGTAGTGGCTTAGGTAACTTGTGCTGGGGTAATTTGGTGTGTTCTAATGTGAATGTATGGTTTCTTATCAGTTATAGGTCTAATTATTTTCTGGTACGTATAACTTTGTTTCTTTTTTAGCCTTCTTTATTTGGGGTTTTTACTTTTTACTAATCCATTTTTGATTTTTTCCTTCAATCTTTTCATTGTAGATTCAATTGTTTTTATCTAAATTAAAGCATTTTGTCTGGAAATGCATCTCAGGTACTCTTCATGTTGCTGCTCACTTACACAAAAGGGGAATTGAATTGGACACTACATGTGCTATTTGTGGTGAAACTATAGAGACTGTGGAACATTTACTGTTCGATTGTCAAAGAGCTTTAAGGTTTTGGAAGTTAAGCCATATTCAGTGGGATGGTCTAACTAAATTCAGAGACTCATTCAAAACATGGTGGTACCAAGTATGCTCTATTGATCACTCTGAGGTTGCTGAAGCTCGAATTCAACTCACAACATACATGCTTTGGTGGCTTTAGAAGTCAAGAAATTTGTGGATTTTTCAGAATCGCTTAATCCCAGAACGCACACTTCTTCAGATGGCTTTGGCCGATTGGATGGACTTCTCTGCTTCATTGTAGTTTAGCTTTGTTTCTCTTCCCTTTGTTTTTTGTTCTGTTGTAGTTTAGTTTTGTTTGGTTTCTGGAATTCTGTTGGAATAACTCCCTCACTGGGCTTTGTAGCAGTGGCGGGGTGTTATTTCTTTGGTATTGTCCTATTTTGGTTCTCTTATTTTTTTTCTTTTGAGGTTCTAGACCGCTTCGTGCGTGTCTCCCAGTTTGGTCTTAGTCCGTTGGTTGTTTCTCCTTGTATTCGAACTTGGTTCGCTTTGAGTTTTAATATAGTTGCATCTGTCGTTTTGGGAAAAAAAAAAGTGAATATGTAAGACTCATTCCTAGCCACAAGATTGGTACAAAATGTGTGGCCACGATCTAACTCTTTATTTAAATAATAATTCTTTATTTTTATTATTTTAATTATGTAAATATTATTGACCATTGACTGTTGACTCCGGCATTGACTGTTGACTTTTGGCGAGACCCGTTGACTTTCGATGTTGACCATTGACTTCTGGCGTTGACCCATTGACCTTAGTAGCATTATGTATGAAGTAAATATGCATTCAGCACTATGCACTTAATATGAACTAAATATGCATTGGGTATGAATTGCATACGCAATCCTTAGGAACTAAATATGCACCAATAATATCAACTAAGTATGCACCTGTTATGAACTAAATATGTATCACGAATGAACTAAATGTGCAGCGAAAATATGCAATAAAAAATGCTTTTATATATTTAATTAAAATATAATAAACTATTAATTTTTCTTTTATAATTAATTTAAGTTTCAATTGATTAATATAATTCATTGATCTACACAAATAAATAGTTATGATTGGATCTCACATGAACTAAATATGCACTGTTTATGAACTAAATATGCATTTCGTATAAACTAAATGTGCATCATCACGAATTAAATATGCATCATGTATATATTTAATTTAAATATAAAAATATGCACTTTGGATTAACTTAATATGCATTTCGTATGAACTAAATATGCATTATGAATGGACAAAATATGCACGACGTATATATTTAATTTAAATTAATAACAAATATGCATTTTGTATAAACTAAATATGCATCATTAATGAACTAAATACGCACCATCAATGAACTAAATATGCATCATTATATATTTAATTTAAATACAACAAATATGCGCATTTCGTATTAACTAAATATGCATCATCAATGATCTAAATATGCATCATGAATGAACCAAATATGCATCATAAATTAACTAAATATGCATCATTATATATTTAAATATAAATATAACAAATATGCATCACGAATGAACTAAATATGCATTTTGTATGAACTAAATATGCATCACGAATGAACTAAATATGCATTTTGTATGAACTAAATATGCATCATGAATTAACTAAATATGCATCATTATATAATATATAACAAATATGCATTTCGTATGAATATGCATTTCGTATGAACAAAATATGCATCATGATTGAATTAAATATGCATCATGTATATATTGAATTTGAACAGAACAAATATGCCTATGGTTGAACTAAATATGCATTATGTATGAACTAATAATGCATAATAAATGAACTAAATATGCATTATTTAAATAATTAAATATAACAAATATGCATCGTGATAAACTAAATATTCATTAGGTATATATCTAATTTAAATAAAATAAAATGCACTATTATTTATAACTCAAATTTGCATTGTGCATTATCTAAATACAGATAAGTAATAAATCAAATGTGCATAAATTATATATAATTGTTCTTATCTAATGAGTATATGCAATTTTAAATTTAATGGAGTTTGAGATAAAAGAGACCATGATTTGAGAAAAATAAAATAAAATGAAATAAACAAAACACATCTTGAGAAATTTGATAATTGAACCCAAAATTGAGAGAACCAAAATTTGGTTCAGCATAGTGGACGACTCAAAATGTTTAAACGTATTCATTCTTATGCAGTTTAAATAGGTTTTCCCACTCCTAAATAATAGCAGGACCCAATCTGTCAATCAAACATAAATTTATGGTAAATAGTTGTTAGCTGATTGCATTAGCTGTTTTCACCAGCGGATTAAATTAGCTGTTTTGACCAGATGATAGTATTAGCGGTTTGTAAAAATATGTTTGGTAAAATTAGCTGTTAACATGTAAAATTACTAATAAGGACATCATCATAATTTATCATTCTTATTTATGTTGAATTTATAATTATAAAAATAATTAACATTATAAATATTTATTAAATTAATTTAAAATATAGAAAAGTATAAATAATAATAAAATGAAAATATTTCTTAATTGAATAAATAAGATCACATCATATAAACAAAACTAATAATAAGTCATCACTATTTAAAAAATCTAAATATGAGTCAATTGCAATATATCTCATTACAATTGAAAAACAAAAAATCAAAGTAAATAAAATTTACAGTAACAAATTTTCAAAAGTTTTCATGGTCATCTAAGTAACTAAATACATCATTTATTTAGAATTTTCTTTTGTCCTTTTACTTTATTAAATTTCTCAAATTGTTTGGGTGTTTCTAATTTTTTTTTTTACTAGATTTTTCAAATTGTTGGAATGTTTAATGCAACTTTGAAACTTTTTTTACTAGATTCCTCAAATCGTTTGAATGTTTTTACAATTTTGGGATATTTTTTTAGGAGATTATGTGATGAACTNATATTTTAAAAAAATAGTTGGTAAAATTAGTTGTTATGTTATATTAAATATTAGTTGGAATAGAATCTATATAATTAAATATATTTCTTATTTTACATCCATAAATAAATATTATTTATATGGGTTTGAAAAGGTATCACAATTTTGATTAATTTTTTTTTCCTCACATGGTGAGACTAAATATTATTTATATGGGTTTGAATAAAAAAGTATCACGTTTTTTATTAAATTTTTTTCTTCCTAAAATGGTGAGATGTACAGAGAGTTGTTCATTATTTGTTATTGTAATAATGAGTGGGGGCAATTAAGACTTTTATTTATTTATTTATTTATTTTTATCTTGGACCGCTAAGCCAAAACGCTGCAAAAAGCAGCGTTTTTCATTTTGGCGGATGGGGCAAAAAACAATGGTTACAACAACTATTTACCAAACGTTGTTATAGTCTCGAGGCTGTTCTACCAAAAATTTACAACATTACTTGTAATCTCTTAAATTTTACACAACTGTCCCCAACCTTTCAACACCTTAAAAAATCACTTTACTAACATACATATCCTTGTAATTTTCATAGATAGATTAAAAAGAAGAGGACAAACAAACAGAGCAACATCAGACCCTAAAAACATCGCCCCACCCCAAACGACGTCATCGCGAACAGCACGCCGGTGACTGCTTTGGCAACGCCAATAAGAGGTTCTGGGGAGTTCGCAAGCGGAGGTGGGACAAGTGGGTCGCCCAGATCCGGGAGCCCTGTCGCCGCACCTGCCACTAGCTCCGCACCTACACCTCCACGCAGAACGCTGCCAGGGCCTATGACCGCGCTGCCATCATCCTATTCGAGCTTCTCCTAATGGTCGTCTTCTGTCTAGAGCCTCCGCCCACTGCTGCTGCGGCCTTTGGGTTTGGGTCTTAGTAATTGTTCAGGTTCAACAACTCGTTGTTCGCCCGAAAGTCTCGTCCTTCGTCCTCCCTTCACCAGCGAAGAGCTCATGGCGGAGCATGTCAGACGAAAAACACGGTTCTCAGCCGGCATGAGAGATTTCAGTCGCTGAGAGAGCCGATGTCGGACCATCCGTGAGCAGCTGGAAAAACGGGGTCGCCGGAAAATGTGGTCGCCGGGATTGCTGGGATAAGGGTCGCCAGAAAACGGGGTCTCTGGGATCATTGGGATTAGGGTCGCCAGAAAATGGGTCGCAGGCCGGTCACCGGCGCCCGGTCAACACCGCCGGCCACCGGTGACCTGCAGCTAGAATATGCTTTTTATAAATAATTTATTTAATATATAATTTAAATATTAATTTAAATATAATAATAATGATTTATTATTATTTAATTAATGTATTTTTCAATTGATTAATGTGAGTTATTGATCTAGATAAAATGAATGGCTAAGACAGAGTCTCACGTACTCATTTTAAGGAGTGGTCTCATTTGATCCACCCCATATATACATACATATATATATATATATATATATATATTGTGTAACACCTATTGTTTAGTTGAGTCGATTATTCGTTGTACATTTATCATTTGGAATATGGCACCAATGATGAATAAGTATTGCTTCGAGGTTGTGGATATGACTTTAAATTTTGTTATGCAAGTCATGGATTCTTCTAATGCTGTGAAGTTTTTGGTGGAAACCCGAGATTTTCGTTATATCTTGTCTGTTGTGCCAACAGGAATACGAAAGACATTATTAGTTCTACTATAAATGTTTCTTCCTCATGGACAAGGTTCTAAGAATCACAAAGAAAATGCATCTACAGAATATTAATGAACTAGGCGACTACGCAGAGTTTTTTAATTTTTATGAATGGATCCAAAGTATCATTGATGGGATAGTTGGAGAACCAATGGTTGTGCTATCGTTGATATTCTAGAAGATCTTTTGCTAAACGTGATGGTGATTTAATTGCGATGATATATTGTTCATTATACATATATGATGTTTAAAGACGAGGTTAATGATCCAAGCTACTTGAAGGATCGAGCTATACTTAAAGACGAGGTTAATGATGCAAGCTACTTGAAGGATCGAGCTATACTTGCAATTGAGGTTTTGAATATATTAATAAATACATGATGTTGTTAAATTGACATATCAACAAACACTTTTGGGTTTTGGTACTATCTCAAAATCGGATGGTGGGGTTAGTTTGACTCATGATCTACACATTCCTGAATTCTTGAATAGAATTAACTATTTGTTGGTATCTCAAATCACGAGTTACAATGGACAATCCAATTATGTTACTGATATATATAGATCACTCAAGTGGTTTGGGCAACGAGACACATTTGGTTATACTGAGACTTAGGGGGTGTTTTAGTTTAAGACTTTTAAGGATTTTTGAAGACTTTTTAGAATTTGTGAAATCTTGGTGTATTTAAATGAGACATTTTAAAGCTTTAAAAGTCTAGAGGTAATTAAATAGGATTTCTAATTACTATTTAAAAGTCTTCAGAAATCCAGAGGTATTCAATTGGGATTTTTTAAAGTCCTACCAAATCACAAGGTATTTATATCCTTTTAAATTTTTTGGAATTTCTATTTACTTGGACTTGCTAGGATTTTAAAGAGAAAATATATGAATCAAATCTCATTACAAATCTCACATCAAGAGACGGGATTGTGAAAGATTTTTACGGAATGTGAAGAGTTTTAACAAGGTCCAACATCATCTTCGTCTTCTTCTCCTTCTTCTTCTTCTTGACAGGATAATTATATATATATATATATATATATAATTATTAAACACATAAAAAACATATACACATTTTATATGATTCTCAAACACATACACCTTACTGAATATTGTTGATCATTAAAAAATATTGAATTAATTTTTTGTTGCATCCTTTCATATTGAAAACAAAAATGCATTAGAATTTAGTAATCAAAATGGGTATGTATATGTTTGACAAAGACATGAAACAATAAAGAAAAAAATACGCTAGAACCAAATTTATTTGCAATTGAATAATTAAAATTGATTCTTAAAATCCGTTTCAACTTGAAGAATTATTCATCTTTCTCATATCTTCTTCTTTTTTGTCCATATTTAGTTTTTGTTGGAGAAAACCATTGTTTTGTTACTCTAGTACAAACATCTTTTCTATTGATGAGTAAATTTTATGATCTTGTTTGGTTATTCGGCCATGAAGGACTTTTGTTCCGCAATTGTTTGTTTCGATTGAAGAATTTTTTAATTACTTATTTCATAAAATACTTTTTTATGGCCATTAGTTTAGATTATTTTCTAATGAATATAGTCTGATGGATATAGGCCTTGAAAATTTTTTAATAATTGACCAAATTCTATGTTGTATTTTTCATATATTCATTATATTCATTGCTTTTAATATTCATAGAGTAGTTGGCTTAATATTTGTACAAAAAAATAAATAAACAAATATAAAAATAAAAATTCACATTGCTTCTTGTTCAAATTAATTTGTATAAAGTTTTCATAAATTCTCACAACGATATATTTACATATCAGTGTTGATGTTTATTCAATGCAAAAACAAAAAAAGAAAAAGAAAAAAAGAAAAAAACTTATAAAACTCTTGAAAAGTCTGATGAAATCTGTATGAGTCTTGAAGAATACTAGATGTAACTTTTGTGGATTTCTAATAAATCCTATAGAATTCATGAGAATCCATGAGAATTGATAAAATCCCACAAAATCTCATTCTTAGTAACATCTTAAAATGTCTTTTATAATCCTCAACGAATACACACCCTTTAATAATCATGTGTTGCAACGTAGGGTATTGATAAATTCAAATACTGATGATAGGATTTTTTTGCCTAGAACAACCCTTAGGCCATGATATCTTCGAATATGTTTTAAGTTCCAAATGGTAATTTCTTTTGATGGTTTCGAGTTAGGTTCAATCTCTTTCTTATGTTGATCAATACCTTAAGAGCATGTTTGTTTGCGAAGACATAATTAGATAATTTTAATCTTTGGACACAAGATTGGGGTGTAGAGATATAAACTATCTTGTGTTTGTTTTCCTAGATTCATGCAACTTGAGATTATATTTTCTAAATTTATTTTTTGTTTGTTTTCCTATATCAAAATTATGATAAGAAGCACATTTACATATTTTCCCCCTCCATTGTTTTTGCATGGCTATCATATATTGGTACAGGTAAGTGGTGTTTTATTTATTTACTTTCATTTTTTTTTCTATCATGCCCGTGTTGTGTGTTCATTTGCTGTTGATTTTTTTTTCTTCAGTGTCAAGACATATTTATATGCAGTCTATTTTAGAAGATGTAGTTTCATTTTTCTATATTTCGAATTTATGAACTCATTTTGCAAGATCATTTTCAAAACATTCATCATGCAAAAGTAGAAACAAAATACTCACCTCTGTAGCCTCATGATACTTTTTCCTTCACTTTCCCTCTAGTGTCAATCAATCACCTATTACACAGGGTTTTTCGTCCTAAAAGACAAACTGGAAAATGGGGATGGTTGGTTTGCGCAACTTTTAAAGATTTGCAACACTTTGAAAAATCTTTTACAAATTATGGCCTTTATTGACTATAACATGTGGCCTACAAAGGAGGTGTTTTTTATTTTCTTTTTTAAAGGGAATCTTGTTAATGTTATATACTAAAAGCTTGGCTTTGGATGATATTATACTTTTACCCTTTAGGAATGAGAACCATGTTTGATTAAACAAGTTCTATGTTCTGTTGTTTTGCACTTAGATAGAATGAGTCGTCATCAGGCGAACAGAAGATCATTCTATCAGTTACTTGGGAAACAAGAATTGTGGTTCACAACCTAGATGGAAATGAACACCCCATCCGAACGGTTGTAATGTCAACAGTACAGTTGGTCTTGACTGATTAGTTGCACTAGTACATTTATGTATTGAACAGGATCCCAGAGAGGATAAGTTTGTTTTATACTGATCGTCGTAAATGAATTAGGCCTCGGTTAAGTAGTGCGTTCTCTTAACCCTTAAGATATTAAACAGACATATATATGCAGTACATATTACTTTGATTCACTTTGGTGAGGTTCAGTTCGCTGGATTAATATTCCTACTGTCTTGGGTAATATTGTTGTATGTATGATGTGCTGTTAGGATATTAGGGTCACCATGTGCGTTAGTTTGATGATGTCCCCGAAGTGAGTTCATGAAGGATTGTTATGCTAAACCCTGCAGGTGGATTAAATTTCAGCATAATAATAATGTGATGAACGAGCGCTAGCTTCGGTGAAATAAATAATATATTAGTTAATTCTTGATTGTCAGTAATCAAATTAATTAAATGGACATTATATCTTAAACATGGGGAGGTAAATCGGGTAATTATTATTGGAGTCTCAAATGTAATTTGGGCTAGGTAAAAGGAGTACAATAATATTACATTAGTGGACCGTAATGTTATTAAGTAATTGGAAGAGTGAGCCTGGACTACAGTTAGTCCATTACTTAAGAAGCCATATTCCTAATCTCCTAAGGATCCCTACTGTAGTTCTATATATAAATCATTAAGCTCATGAGAAGAGATCAGTTAGTCATAATTCGCGTGAGATACGCCACCCCCTCGTCTCTCTCTAGATCTCATTCGAGCTTTATCTTCTTCCCGTTGCTCCACCGGTACGAGTTGAAGAGGTGTTTGAGTAATACAGATAGAAGATCCCGAAGGTAATCAAGACCCCGTGATCATCTACAGGAGTTGACGAACCACGACCCGAAGGCCGCAATTCGCCAACCCGACCCGCCAGAGCCGACGTCGCGACCAGCCGGAGGTGATGAGCCGACCGCCACCTTGAATCGGACACCCGACGCGACGAACCGGCGAGCCTGACCCGCCTTCCCGTTCGTGTGACCCAGTTTTGTTCGTGTGTTGTTCCCGGTCATCCTGAATCCATTAGATTCAAAAAATTTTAAGTCATAAGTTTTTTACGTCAAATCTTTAGATCCGCTGCGCATAGGTTTACGTTTGCTATTGAATTCGTAACTTGTACATAACGAAATCCTCATAGATCCTAA